CCTCACCGACGAGTCCGCGTCTATATCCTGCTGTCCAGGCACACTCTGTCGCCGAGGACCCCTCGCAAGCCAAACTGCAAAGGTGGGTTTCACGATAGAGGACTGTCTCTGTTTTCTCACGATAATCCTGTCGTTGTCTAAGGGGCCCCGTGTGTGGCCGGGAACACTGGCATAATAGCCAATGGTTAACAATTTTTGTTGCAAATCTGGGAACCTAAGTCAAGAGGACATGCAAGAAGATTTTTGGAAAAGCACCCTCCCGAATAAACAAAGCCTAGAGCATTCCTAACATCTAGTCGAAAACGTAACAAAATCTAAGTGCGGCCAAGAGTATTCCTAGGAAAAATCAAGGGCATTGGCCGGGAACTAGCAAAAGGTTACCAATTTTGAGGGGAAATCTGGGAACCTAAAAACAAGAGGAAGCGCTAGAAAATTCTTGGAAAAGCATCCAGCCGACAACATAACAAAATCTAGACAAAGCCTAGAGCATTCCTGGGAAAATGCTAGAAAAGCCTTTGAAAGTTCCATAGGTTAGCAAAAGGTTACCAATTTTTGGGAGAAATCTGGGAACCTAAAATCAAGAGGAAGCGCTAGAAAATGCTTGGAAAAGCATCCAGCCGAAAACATAACAAAATCTAGACAAAGCCTACAGCATTCCTAGGAAAATGCCAGAAAAGCCTTTGAAAATCTCATAAACTAACAGAAAACGTGACAAAATCTACGAAAAAGCAAGGGCATTGGCCGGGACCATGCCGCGACCAGCCCGGGATTCGAGCCCAGGACCATTTTGGACCGTGCTTATTTTCCCGCGCGGGTCGAGAGGGTGCCCCAAGATGTAAATCAATTGGGATGGCAGAATCCACGTCGCAATCAGGTAGCTTTCCTGGAGAATTCCGGGCCGGATTTCGTCACTGCAACAAGGGTCCGGAGGGGTAGGGGAGGTAAGGTCTAGGTCTAAGGCTAAGGACTAGGTCTAAGGCTAAGGATAAGGCTAAGGCTAAGGCTTAAGGCTAAGGCTAACATCGACAGTCACGCCTCACCCCACGGTGTGGGGTCGGCGGAATTCTAGTGGCAACATAACCAATAATATGCCCTGTACGAATGAAGAGAGTCATGACCTACCAGAAGCTTTGCCCCTCACTCTGCTGAAGCAGCTTGAACAACCCAGTAGGTATTCAGACGCTGAAATGCAGGGATCTTCCGCGCAACTTCTTCGCGAGGAAGGGCAGATCTCTCATCTTATCATTTTGTACCAGCACCCTCCAACTGGTCACCACCTGCCGCTATTCAGTCTGCAAAAGTCAGCAAAGGTCTAACCACCTTCTGAGGATATGGGCCACCTCCAGTGTAGGCATTACAACCACCACCAGCGCTGGTCGAGCACTGAGGATGGCTGTGCTGGATGATGTGGGTACTTGCGAAGGTGTTTTGCCCATGATCGACAAGTCTCCCTGCGTGGATGGAAAGAAGATGCCGAACTCCTATGTGCACCTCGGACCAAAAACGAAAAAAAACAAAACAATCACTAAATACAGTGAACAACAATAACAATAACACAGTGAAATGAAAAAAAATCACTAAACACAGTGAATAATGGGTCTTCCAAACATGGTGGTCACACCCGGGGAGATGCCGAGACGCCTCCCGCATCACACACCCGCATCACACACGCGTGAAACGGGAACGGAACAGGTCGCATCGGACTGTCCGTGAGCACAGTGGGAGGAGTTCTAGATTCTAGAGAGTGTGTTTTTTCCCGCCCCTGAGTCCACTCGGAGGCGTCCAGAGCATCCAGAAAATGGACTCCATGCTTCAAGAGAAGGATGTTCAAACATCTGCGTTGTTGCAAGGTGATCTTTGGCGGTCGACCTGGGTAGTTTCTGACAGATGAAATCACGGCAACCCCTGACAGCGGTCGACCTGGGTCGCAAATGCATGGTTGGTGAGGCCGACGTCTCAGCACCACTGGAGAACATCGGATGTTCACCGAACAAACCTGGTGACCTAGTTTTACGTTCGAACGACTTGTGTATGGTTTTCTTGGGCCCAGGGCCGGGCGGTTCTTGGATTCACAGGCACAAAAAGAGTCCTGAAGTAATGCAATCAACATGCTTTCCGGTGAGGCTCGCAGGCTATTTGATTGAGAGTTGATGAAGTGTATAGGGGCGTAAAAAGATGATTGGGGGTCTCATAGCACCAGGATACCTTGGCTGACCTACCGACGTGATTTGCGGCTTGCGCTCGTGCCTGACGCTTCCCAACAACCCTTCACCATATGGTAGACTGGTCGGGTCATCCCCCAGACGTATGATGTATCCAGATAGCTGGCACTGTAGCAATTGGGAGTCTGGGAAGGCTTCGATCTGTGACGACATCGTACATGTGACTGGACAGTTTATCCATCCGTCCGTAGCCCACATCCATATGGCCATGGATCCACATGGTGCATTGGTTTCAGCGTCACTATATGGGCCTTTTCTATCCTTTTCGCTTTTCCAGAACCTCTGGAGTCGATTATGTACCCAGGGCGTTACCGCTATAGCTGGTAACCATCCCTATATAGTGGTAACTGGGATCCACTGGGTTATATATGTATATATATAATATAATATATATATATATAATATATATATTGCCCTTCTTTGGGCCACAAAATGGTCTCCTTCGGTCATCAGTGTGGTTCTGACCCTCCGCGTCCTTCAAAAAACACAGGTTTCCGCTTCTTACGTCGGTGCCGAGTTGGAACTCGGCGCGTCGTGGGACATGTCCGGGCTCCGCCGCTCCGGTCGATTCGATCGCGCTCAGGACCAAGATGTATGCGGGCGACCTGCACCAGTGGTGGAAAGCAACGCCCATTATGACACGCGTGCCACACGTCCAGTCGAAGGTGGCGACGTTTTCGGGGCGTTTTCGTTGGAGAGTCCATCGCACTTGGATGATGTGTTGGATGGTTTTTTGCGAAGGGATCAGTTCCGATCTGCACAGATCGCTTTGTTGGTCTTGTGTTTCTTTGCTTTAAGCCTCAACCAAGAGAGGTTGAGAGACCAGAACTAGGACCCTGTAGTGGTACATATGGGATGGGCTATAGGCTATAGGGCTGTTCAGCCTCTCTTGGAACTCGAGGCTTCGGGAATCATGGAGTTGTTTATCAGCACCTTCCAAAGGGTGGGATATGTACCCCAGCAGGACCATACTTTGTGTTCTCCTCTACTTGGCGGCCTAGAGGAACCGTGACTGTACTCCGTGTGTTGGTCCGTTGACGAAGCACCGCATTTGAAGAAGCACCATCGACAATATAACTTAACATGACGGGCAACACTATATATTCCCGCACAGCGGAAAGGGTGGTTTTGTTTGACACTCCTGACTCCTGACTATGTATTTGCCCTTCAATAACCACCCTTTCCGTGGTGCTGGTCGATATATGAATATTATGTATAAGCGTGCGTGTTTTATGTTCTAGACCGTGTTACTGATTTTGTGTGTTGGATGTACCAAATTTCATGGATGAAGGACTCACACCCTAATGGCAAGTACCAAGCCTTTCGGCCCAAACTTCTACTATGTAGTAGTTATATTCAGATACTTAAACTTTTCAAAGTTTCAAGTTTCAATTACTAATATATATATATATAATAATAATTAAGAATAATAGTAGGTTATTATAAATTGAAGTATAACATATATCAGGCTTTGTGGAAATCCAACCGCGAAGTCTGTGTGCGACCTTATGAATCATATACCATTATACCAGCACAACAACAAGTCTAATGAGGCTTGTGCAGGTCTTGAGAGGTCTGGTGACCGGTGAAGTCGGGTGCTGGCCTTGCACCTTCCTCGCTTCTGTGCTTGGAAGTCTCGCAACCCACGCTTGGAAGTCGCGTAACGTCAGGCTGGGCTTGATTCCAGGTGAAGAACTGAATTGGCTCCAAGGCTTTTGTCCACGACATGGTTTGCTTGGCAAACTTGATGTACCCCTTTGACCGGGGAAACATCCTCCAAGGCACTGCTACCGGACAGTCTTCAACCAGGTGGCGACCGGCCTGAACTGCATGTTCGACAGAGGCCACCCGCGGAGAGTCCAAGTGTTTTTTTCTCCCTGGCCTCCCGGTGGACCGAGAAAAAGAGATGGACGTCCGCACGGATCTTCAACGTGGAACTGTGAATGATACCAGGGTTTTGCGGGGTGTCTATATAACAGACAACAAAAGATGATAATGGGTGTCCATTGGCGGCCCTGGTAGAGAATCCCAGATACGAAGATAGGCATCCTGCACATCCTGCTTAGGGAATTTTGGGTATCCAGCCACCCTCCACTCATATCCTAGGGATCCACATTGCCTTTCTTCTCAGGAGGTACGACTGGGCCCTCCCGGCGCCTACATAAATAGTTTCCAATCGCCTTCTGAGAAGGTACGACTGGATCCCATAAGGATAGATACCTCAGACATCCGTCGCCACCCAACACACGTCGCCACCCGGGCGTCCCGCCGGCCGCCAGTCCGAGATCGATCCGCGGCTCACGGCTGAACGTACCAGACGGATCAAAACGTACCATGGCAGGTCCATCCGCAAAACAATTTTTTGAATCCAGGTTTATGATGGTTTATGACGGTTTATGTTTATGTACGAATAGTCCTCCTGTAAGCAGTTTATAGGAGCAGCTCCCTCAAAGTACTTGAGCAAAAGCCTCAGAACATGATAAGAGAAAGAACATTGCTTTACTTCGAGTGATCCCCACCATGACATTTCAATCTGACAAATTTTATGGTACGTATTGAAGATTATTGAAACATGACTTTTGCATGTCTTCTGACATTCTTTGTGACAGTTTGTCTGGCATGACATTCTTTTTGGCCTCCCTTCTGATATTAATTCTGGCATTCTATGTGCCATATCTGCTGACATTATTCACACCGCTTCGCGGTCGAAGCGTCAAGGGAAAACAAACACACACATACAGACATAGACATCCATCCATGCATACAGACATACATACATGCAAACATACATCCAGACATAAATGGAAAAAGTGTGTCACTAACACCCTACTGGCTCGGCAGCAACCTGCGCTCGCGGAGCCGGGAACTAGCAACTTGTGCTCTCAGAGCCGGGAGGAAATGTTAACCGGGCTCAAGCGTGAAGAAGCGTTTTGCTATGGCCCTATTCAATCACCAGCCTTTTCACGGGTTCTGTCTCGGTGCGTCCGTCTCGGTCTGTCAGTCTGTTTGTCTCGGTCGAGCAGGACACACGGACGAACCCACCCACGATGTCAATAATGCAGTGTTCCGCGGTGCGCCCGCCATGTGGACAAAGCAGTCCTCCGCGGCCGGCGTTGCCAATGTTTGGTCCGAAGCCAAAACCTCTTTTATCAATCTTCAGAATTCTGAACACTGCAAAGCACAGCATTTGAGCTGGAGATGGACCCCCCCAAGCTAACGCTTAGGATTAATCCTCGAGATTTTTGCGGCTTGTTCGAGCCTCCACAACGCCTCAGCACCTTCAGCGCGGGCGGATTTCTGACATTCATATCTTCTGACATTCTTTCTGGCGTTTTATCTGGCATGTTTTCTAACTCGCAGTTGATGTCCGGCGGGGAACACTGCCCGCCGGCTGCCGGAGCTCGCATGTGAGGTCCAGCCGGAGCTTGCGGTTGAGGTCCGGCAGCCGGCGGGGAACATCCGGAGCTGGCGGTTGAGGTCCGGCACAGAACACTGCTATCCTGCACTTGCGGTTGAGGTCCGGAGAGGAGGAGGACGAGGAGGACGACGGCAGTTGTGACATAACATCTGACAGGTAGGGAAAGATAACGAGGGATGACATCACACATTTTGACAGGGACATGTTGATTCAGGCCTGTGCATCCATCCGCTGGATGATAGAAGTCAAGGTTCTCCTAGTTTCTCCTTTGCTCCCGCTTTTGCTGATGACAGCTTTTGTATCAAGGGTGTATTGAACAAAAAGGTTTGCTATTTCCCTGTCGTTTTCATGTCGGATGTTTCTGAGACAACGAAAGCTGCGAGAATCCACGGGTTGTTCTTCCAGCAGTGGCACAACCACTTCAGACAGTGGGGGGACTCAAAGAACATGCGAATCCAAGAAGGATGTTTTCAAAGATTCCGAACCTGTGATAAAAACATACAAAGGAACAAGGCATATGTCAGATACTATGGACGCAGAAATCCGGCAAAACGACTAAGAGGAACATATCCGATAACGCTGTTTTGGTAATGGCAAAGTGCATGGGGTTATTTTACAACCCCATATGTTTTGATCCGGCCGTTTCTTTTGAAAAAACTGGTTTCGCTGCTCTTGGCTCCAAACTTACAGGGGTCAGGTGCAGATCCACCTCGCTGCTCCAAACCCTCAAGCCAGCATCGCAGGGTGGATTCACGACGACATCAAGGCGGCCAATATCCTCTACGAAGGCATCGATGCGAAGGGCTGTCCGGAAGCTCGGAGAGGAGAAGGGATCTCTTTCGTCTGCCGCGGGGGGCTGTAGATTGGATTTGCATCATGATTTAAAGCAAATTATATCAATTCAAAAACTTCTAGGACATAGATGGACATAGGTTGTTTCTTTTGGGATTTCCCCGGCACACTGGATCCCCAGTCTTCAGACCAACGGTTCAATCGCTCAGAAAACCGGCAACCTTAAGACCTCGTTGGCAACCCTAAGACCCTCAGGATTGCTTGCACCTTGACCCTGGATGTGTTCGCTTCAACCCGACGGTTGCTCTCAGGGTCGTTTGCACATGGATCGGGGGAAGAGGTTCTACACCTTCCACCGTGGTTCCACCCACCAGACGGACGAAGCCCCGAAGACGAAACAAATCGAGTTTCAATCCGCGGACGCCAAGGAAGGACTGGCCTTGGCCGACTTCGGCCTCGCCGTCCAGATTGGCAAACCCATCAGCTGCCTGGTTGTGGGAACAAGTTCCCATGAACCATGCATGAACCAGGGCATGAGCGAAGGAAGAACCCAGCTGTTCTCTATTTTGGTAGAGGAGTCCCGGAAGCCAAAGGAATGTGAGAAAGGTTTGTGATCTTTGGTGTATTTGGACGTTGTTTTCTCACGCCATGGATACTCCCCAGTGAGCAGCCAATCCGGTGTACCAAATCGACGAAGCATTGGGGCGACCAAAGTTCACCATTCGTGGAGTCACTATGGCCAATTGGAGTTTCCTCCAACCTAATCGCGATGGCCTCCAACCTAAGAGCAATGGCCTCCAACATCCTCCAACA